TATACCTGTATCGTATGACTACTGATGACACTATGCAGATAATAACTGTGTGACGGTATATTTATATAAACTAATAAAATTATTTTATTTTAATGAATGTATGAAAACCGCATCTATACCTTCCTTCATTCATTTCTCGAGTTTTATCGATAACCATAAACCCATAATAGCTATGATTCCAGCATAAATGAGAAATTTTCCGAAATTCTGAGAAATCCATATCTGCAGACGAATGATCGTTGAATATATGTCGTAAATTTGTATCATCTTGTTTCAGTATTATTAAAAAGTTTGCGTTATCTCTTACAAGCTGTTTTGATATTTTAGAATATGTCTGTGCTAAATAAAATACGGAGCTGGCACCTGAATGCCTACCAATGCTAAAGTATTCTCTGATTACAGATTGTGGGCCGCATATCACATCATCAAAAATTATAATAGAATTTTTCTTGGTTAAGTTTGGTTTTATAACCTTATCAGCGCTTGTAAATAGGAAAAAATTAGCACCTTGTATATCATCTATTATTTTTTTTAATAAAACATATTTTTCCTGATTAGAGGTTTTAGAGTATAAATAAATATTTTCAAATCTTAACCCGTTTGCATGTGTGATCAGATTATACATTATATTTGTTTTTCCTGAACCGCTGGGACCAACTAGTATAGCACGTATAGTATCGGGTAATAACGAACCGTGTCTTGATGGTTTTTTTACTACCTGAACATCTACATTTATAACATCCAATTTATCTTTCTGTTCGATAAAATCCATATTATTTTCTTATAAATACTCTAGAATTTCCAATTTATAATCAGTTATCGATGACGCGTTCGACTCGTAAGTGCAAGTCAGTCAAGACTGGAAAAGGATTTGTAAACTCTCTTATAAATAGTCTCCCGTTCGAAGCCCATGTTTCAGGCTATCAGTATTGCGGTCCTGGTACGAAATTAAAAAAAAGGTTAGATCGTGGTGATAAAGGAATAAACCCGTTGGATGCTGCTTGTCGTGATCACGATATTGTTTATGCAACGAGTAAAAATTTAGACGATAGACATAGAGCTGATAAAGTGTTAGAAAATCGTGCTTGGGAAAGATTTAAAGCAAAAGATACTCCTAGAAAAGAGAAATTTGTTGCGTACGCAGTAACAAACGCAATGAAAGCTAAAAGAAAAATAGGTATGGGCTGTAAACGGAAACGTGCTATAAAAACAAATGGTATACTAGCAGCGAAGAAAAAAAGAATCTCGAAGAAAAAGAATGGTGGTAAAAGGTTGATTTTAGCACCGAGACAGTCAGGAGGTGTAATTCCCTTAATACCTATATTTGCAGGATTGTCGGCACTTGGTAGTTTGATGTCTGGAGGTGCTAGTGTGTATAATGCGGTTCAAAATTCAAAAAGAAAAAAAGGCAGTGGTTTGAAATCAGACAAGAATAGGTTAAGAAAAAAAAACTGATGATCACGCTACCTGACAGACCGCTTTCATCTCAAGATATTATAAAATATGTCGGAAAGTTGAAAATCAATCATTTCCGTGGAGTCTTTTCACGTGATAACTTGCCTAAAAAACCGCATGCGATTGAATGTGGCATATTAAACTTAGATATATCTTCAGGAGACGGAAGTCATTGGGTAGCGTTTTATAAAAATAAGGACAAAGTAGTATATTTTGATAGCTTTGGTGATTTGTCACCACCAATTGAATTACAACATTATTTTAGGCAGTTCAAAATAGTATACAACTATTCTAACTATCAAGATTTCAATACATTCAACTGCGGCCATTTATGCCTTGAATTTTTACAATGTATGAATCTGTTACACTAAGTTTGACTGGGAATACAACTATATTATCTACAAATTATTTTCCGACTCTAAACGTTTACGAGGATTCGGAAATAGCTTTGTTATGTTTAAAAACACTTAATTTATTTCCAAACATAAATTCAGCTAATAACCGACTGGAGATAGAAGTAATTCCTTCAACAAGTAATAGATTTATCCTAAAAACGTTTATATTTATTTTAGAAGAAGGATGTTATGAAATTGAAGATATTAACAACAAAATTTCGAAAGAGTTATTTAACTTTAACAATAAATGTAGAACACAGCTAACATTCAACGTATCTATTGATCCCATAGATTTTAGAACATACATTGAATGCAATGGGATACTAAAGTTAAATATTCCAAACAGTATAGCATCTGTTTTTGGATTTGAAAAGAGAACCTATAAACAAATAAACAAAGCTCTTCGATCGGGAAAAGCTGCTAATTTAAACACAATTAACTCTATAAAAGTAATGTGTAATATAGCACATGGGTCATTCGACAACCGACTTCAAAGTCATTCAATATATGAGTTTTTCCCTAGTGGGAGAACTGGATCGAAAGTAGTTCAGTCACCACTGAATTTGATATATTACAGATTAAACACAACAGACATTAATTCAATAACTATACAGTTAGTTGATCAAAACAATAATCCCATCGATAACTTTAATGAGACATTGACAGTTGTTCTACATATTAAACGTCACGAGTCATATTATTAAATTTATATCTCAGATATCAGGATGTACGAGTCAGTTACTTTAAGTTTAACCGGCAACACAACCATATTATCTACAAATTATTTTCCGTCTATAAACCTTTACGAAGACTCAGAAATAGCTTTGTTATGTTTGCAAACATTTAATACATTCCCGAATATCAACAAAGATAATAATAAATTTGCTATACAAGCAGTTGACCATAATAATAATAATACTGATCGTATGTGGTGTTATATTAAACTGGAAGAAGGATGTTATGAAATCAAAGATATTAAGCATCGAGTTATGGAACAAATAAATATTTATAATGAAAAATTCCAAACCAAGTTAACATTTGACATTTCGGTTGATTCTAACGACTTCAGATCATATATAAAATGTAATGGAATACTTCACTTTGAGGTTTTACATAGCATAGCACCTGTATTGGGTTTTGAAAAACGAGAATATAAGCCAGATTATGAAACTCATAGATCGGAAAAAGCTGTGAATTTTAACACAATTAATTCTATAAAAGTAATGTGTAATATAGCTCAAGGATCATTCAACAACCATCTTCAAAGTCATTCGATTTATGAGTTTTTCCCTAGTGAAACGTCAGGATCGAAAGTTGTACAGTCACCACCAAATTTAATATATTACAAATTGAATAAAACAAATATTGATACGATAACCGTTCAGTTAGTTGATCAAGATCATAATCCGATTGACAATTTTGGTGAGACATTGACAATTGTGTTACATATTAAACGTTACGGGTCTTGAGATGGGATTAAAATTCAATATAAACCCACTACTTCGGATCAGTACAACTAGTCATAAGACTAAAGTGCTACCAGCAACATCAAATAAAATAAAAAAATTGACAGTGAAGAATAAAAAAATTTTGCGAGCTCTGGGCTATCAATTAAAGCAGAATGCCTGAAAGTGATATTTTGGATATAACTTCGCAGTACGAGACGGATTCTAAAATTACGAAAATTGAATATCATTCCTACACACCGTATACTACATCATTTAATAATAATGATGAAATACGTATATCAATCCAGCAAACGGATGTTTATCCATATCTACACGAAAGCTTTATTTTTTTGGGGGGGACAATTACTGATGCTACCAAAGTGAAACTAACTAATAATGGTTACTCTTACCTCTTCGAACAAATACGATTGGAAATCAATGGGATAGAAGTAGATAGCACACGTGTTCTTGGAATCACTAGCTCGTTGAAAGGTTACTTATCCTGTACGCCAGATAACTACAATTGCTATGAAAATGCTGACTGGAATTTTAAAAACTTAACGCAATCGGAAAATGACAAAGGTGAATTTAGTGCTTGCATTCCATTGAAATATTGGCTAGGTTTGTTTGAAGACTATAAAAGAATATTAGTGAATTCTAGATTGGAATTAATATTAACTCGAAGTCATAGTGATTTAAATGCTTTACAAGCTAAAAGTGGTGCTACTGTTACTGAAGGTAAAGTTACCTTAAATAAAATAGTCTGGAAGGTTCCACATATAACGGTCGACGATGAAGAAAGGCTAAAATTATTGAAACTTATAGAAAAAGAAAAAAGTCTATTTATCCCTTTTAGATCTTTTGAAACTTTTGAATATCCTGAACTCGGAACCACTAAAAAAGTTGTGTGGAATTTGAAAACTGCTTCAAAATTAGAAAAACCACGATTCATCATAATTGGATTACAGAAAGGACGCAAAAATGTGTTATCAAAAGATTGTAGTATATTTGATCATTGTAATCTAACAAACGTTAAAGTATTTCTGAACTCGATAGCTTATCCATACGATAATTTGAATTTAGATTTTTCGAAAAATAATTTCACCTTATTGTATAATATGTATACATCTTTTCAAGAATCGTACTATGAAAAAAGTATTCGTAACCCGATATTGAGTCCTTCTACTTTTGTAGCAAACGCACCAATTATAGTTATCGACACTTCAAAACAGAACGATTCAGCCACAGCCTCAGCAGTGGATGTTCAATTGGAAATTGAAGCTTCAGATTCGCTTACAGGTGTAACTGCTTATTGTTTATTAATTCATGATCGTATTGTAGAATATGTACCTTTTACTAGAGAAGTAAGAAAACTTGTGTAAATATATTTAAGAATTAATTTTCAATAATAAAAAAATCTATTATTACATAACTTGTGTTCTGTATTTTAAATAATTATTTCATTTTAGTAATAAGGTTTGTTTGAGTGTGCAAACTCTTCATAATTTTTACACGGTAAAATTATTGTGTCCAAGGGGGACATCCTCGCTTGGACGTTGTGAAATTACCGTGTAAAAAGTGTGTAAATTCTTCATAATTTTTACACGGTAAAATTATTGTGTCCAAGGGGGACATCCTCCCTTGGACGTTGTGAAATTACCGTGGTGACACAAAAAAAAGACTGTGAACATACAAATCTATACTACTCATCAATGTCGTGAATTTTTGCACTATTTGTCATTTCGGAAAATAATTTTACAGCACCCGCAACATTTTCTAATGAACAAGTATTATTATTGTCAAATGGCATTTTAAAAATATTAAATAAAGGCTTGAGTGTTTCAATAGTTATTTTTAAATGTTCAGTTGTTAAGTTTATCAGTGTGTCTAATACTTGTTTAAATTCTTTTCGATAAAATAATTTTAATGAGAAGTCTGATTGAGTCATTGGATTAGAATCTATTTTTTTTGGTATCAACCGTTTATGATGTTGTTTGTTAAAATCTGCGATTGGATCTAAATCTATTTTTCTTGAAAATATTAGAGCTGCGTCTATAATAGTTTCCAGTCCATCATAATCTTTGTTTATATTTTCAAGCGATTTAATTGTACCCTCTATTAAATTACTTGCATCAATTATATTCAATTCCTTTGCTTCCAACTTCTCTGTGAGTACTTTGAGTTTATATAATACATTTTTCATAAACATTATTGAAACAATAAAATCAAACGATGTTATTTTTTTAAACAGAGCTAATGATTGGCTTTTAGTTTTTCTATCATACAAATTTGAAGAGGAGATTTCTTGCAAAGTTTCAAGAATTATTTCAAACGATGTCCAAACTGCTTTAACCGATTCTGCACGAGCCGTCCATCGCGTTTTTGATAAATTACACAACTGCAAACTACCTTCAATTTCAAATAATTTTTTACTAAGAATTCCATACCGCTTTGTACTAGCATTAAAAAAAACATATAGACTCTCTAGGTTACCAATTAAGTTAAGTATAATGACACTAGCATTGCAGCAATGTTCTAAAAATGTGTTAATTCGGTGCGCTTGACATGGGATATAAGGTATATGGTGATTGGCCAGTTTTGAAAGTTCTTTTTGCGCTGCATGGAATTGACCAGACATACTTGAGGCAAAATCGTAAGAATGAAAAGCGATGAAGTCTGGATTTAATTCGTTTCTTACTGTTACGTACCTACGTATTTAGTAATTAAGTAATAACAATGTACGACGTAGCGCAGGTTTCTAATAGTACTCGACGATATAATTAATAAGGCAATTAGTATATTATAACACGTTAGGGACACTGTAAAAGTATCTCTCTAGGAAAGTCAAACATTCATACGAAGGATACGAGTCGACCAGCATACCAAGTACGAGACCAGGACTCTGTCTCATGACCGAATTTTGCCACTACTATGACCACCCACTCCAAAGGACTCGATCATATAAATACCAGCCCAGGACAAGAGCTCGTCAGACGGTTAGGGATACTCAAGACACTTGGAGGCAGGTCGTAAAACCACTCACAGTCTTAGTATCATTTTGGAGGCAGGTCGTAACACCACTCAAAATCTTAGTAACAATTCAGAGTCAGGTCGTAACACCGCTCACCTCTCTACATAAGCTTTATACATTGTAATTTTGTACTTAAATAAATACTCATAATAACCTATTGCATCAAGTATTCATTTCCACGTTGATGTATATATCGACGTCAGTTGGGACGCAACATTACTAAGGTATCGTACATATTATTTGCAATCCCAAATCCAGTTTTGTTCGTACATTCATTAATTTCAAGAAGTCTTTCTTTAACATTTCCATTATTATTAACGTATCGTACACATATTGCCAATCTATCTTGGTGGGTAATATCGGGAGTCGTGTCTGCCAGAACTGAATAAATTTCCGCATTTTTTACTTCCTCAATTACTCAATTTCTAGTTTCTGAAGAAAGCAGTTCTATGAATTCATTTTGAGACCTAGAACCGAGATACGTCACATGATATGACCTCATAGATTTATTATCTAACCATGTTTTTATAACATTACAATGTCTGGAAAGTAATTCCACGATTTGAATGAAATTTCCATTTTTATCATCTCCATCACCTCTAAATGCCAACCCTTGCCGAGCTAAAGTACGAGTAGTGTCCATAAGGATTTTAATAACTTGCTTATTATATTCTCGCTCATGCTGAATTTGAATTGATTTTTCTCTATTTGCTTGATCAAATAAGACATCAATATGACAAGATGTCTTCATAAAATTACAGTAGTCTTTTAATGCAGCTTTATGAACTGAACAAAAGAAATGCTCAGAAAGTTTCCCAGGTTTATTTTTACCCCTACTTTTCATTTTGTGCCAAACCCTGACGCCTTCAGTGACCCAAGCATTATCGGAAAATTCTCGATCCGGACCATTTGGAAATAAAAAACATACAAAAAAATAAGCTGAGTCTTTTTCAATACTATATTCCAACAAAGGAAACTCAATATACCAACGTGAAGAAAATTGCCGTTGTTTGTTCGTATTGATACTTTTGTTTCTGGGATATGAAGTAAGTTTAGGCTGATGAGGTCCTAATGAAATTAAATAATGTCTGTGTGAAGCAGTTACAATTTTTTCTCGTTTGCCTGGATCATGATCAATTAAGCTGTTGTATTCGGTTTGATCGTGTAAAATATCGGTCGAATTATTGCTGATAGTTTGTGTTAAAATATCTGATGCATTTTTTAAAAAAGCATCAGCTATGCTTTGAATAGTTCTTACTTTCTGAATACTATTAATTAAAAATAAAACTGGGTTCGGAAATTGTTCAGTTTTAATTTTATCCAAAACTAAATCGCATTCCTTCACTTCATTAACAAGTAATTTCAACTGACCTGCACAAGTTAACCAAGTTATTCCTTCGTCTTCATTTTTTTCAGAATTTTGCATAGGTATTACAATATCAAGATTTATGGGCAATTTTTTATCAATAAGAAGTTCACTTTTTTCAATAATAGGACTGTCCAAAGATTTTTCAGTTGCAACCGAATTTTTAGATTGATGTTGCGTACCTACTAAGTTGCATACTGTTGCCAAATCATTATCTACATTATAAGAATCATCCTCTTCTATCATAACCTATATAAATATAAAATAATCTTAATAATTGTATTTGCGTAAAATGTAGGTTGGTAAATAATTATTTACCAATGGTTTTAATCGAGGTTAAAAGTGATAAATCATATTATGTACAGTGTTGTATAAAGATAATTTTTAAAACAAAATTTCAATATAATTTTCTTTATATTATGTTTTTTAATAATTCATTATTGTTTTACCTAATGAATACAATTAAAAGAAATTGAAATAAAAATACAAGTCAAATGTATTGTTTCTTTTTTAATACTTAATAGAAATAAATAATAAAAATGATATTTACATAAATATTTAAATAATTTATATAAATATTCACTATTTAAAATTCAGGTAACAATATTTAATAACTAATAAGTGATAAGAAATTATTAAAATTAAATAACTTTGATAATGCACTTTGTCATTTATTTTTTTAGTTTAAACATAATAATATAATAAAAGGTAGTAATGTTTCAAATTACTTAACAAAAAAAAAAATAACTAGGGTATGCATTTAAACAAACCAAATTATAAACTTGCAATAATATATATTGAATTTATATAGATAACGTAGGTAACTATCTAGATAAATTTATCTAGATAAAACACAACACTGATTATGTAGATATAAGATATTTTAAGCCTTGTGTGTAAATAAACCGGGTAGGTTTTGAATGAAAAATTATAATTTACAACTCGTGGTACTTTCTAAGTCCCAGTAAAATAGAATTGAATAAAATATGAAGCTTACCGATGGTGGTATATGTTTTATTTTCCTTTTACTAGCGTCAAATGGGTTTTCAGGTGCTACAAAATGCTTAACCTTCGTCCTCTTTCCGCCGTGACGATTAATCTCATGCTTTTTACGATAGTCATCATCAAAACTTGATCCACACTCCAAACACTCTAGTTTTACACGCTTTCGAGACTTATTTATAGTAGTTGACATTGAATTTAAATGTTCACAACAATATATAAAATAAACGCCTTGTAAGTAACTAGTAAGTATAATTATTAAAATACCGAGTGAGGTGTACAACAGACTATTGTCAACTACAGTTGTACAGACGTCAAACATACACATTATATACGATACATGGTAATCGGTAATCTTCGTCTGTTGAATGATTCTTCGAAACGCGATTTTCGAGTATTTTTAACCTACCCGTACCCTCACTTGATAACGTATTATATAATATTATACCCGCCAGCCACAACCGTCGCCGCAATGATGAATGCGATGACAGATGACAGAAATAGACGGTTTATCGATTTTCTACTGTATATAAATATATTATATTATGCATGATATAATATTATTATCTTATGCCGACTGCCGATTCTCGCATTACGAAAATATTGAATTAAAACAATATTAACATTTAAACAATTTATTTAATTTTCCTTTCCTCGTCTTAAAAAAATTGTTTAATTCAGGTGAAAATAAATTCCATTTTGCCGACTGAAAATCAAATATTGCCGAGTGGGGGGGGTGTAATACCCCCTCATGACCCTCCTTCGGTTCATACCTGTTTGTACTCACTACCAATTTTATTTTCTTGTGGTAAAAATGAGTAATTGGCGTTTTGGTAATAAAAAACGAGCTAAATTATTCATAAGACGAAAAAAGTTGAAACACAATTTGGCAAATTTACAAAAAAAATAAAGAAATTCAAAAACTCGGCAATGACGACAGCAATATCATTTCAGAAATAAGCAATAATCAGGTAAAAAGTTGTTCATTAATGCGATATTATAATTATTTTAAAACTCAGTGGTATTTTTACGTATATATATATATATATATTTTTTTTTTATAGAGTATAAACACATCAAATCATAGTAATGAGACATATTATAATGAACACGACGATAACAGGTAATATTTTTCAAATGGAAACATAATTATATTATAATAACTGAACAATTATTCAACATTTGAATTTGAATTTCTAAGATACAATTAATAGAACATTTTTATGAATTCCTAACACAAAATAATTTTCAAATTTTCGTGATTTTGAAGACTTGTCAAAATTCTTGAATTAGACTGTAATACAAAAATACTGTAGATTCACGCTCAACATTCTTTTTATTTCCACTAAATAACTTATGAGGAATTTTCAAGTCTTTGGCCGAGCAAAAAATATTAGGTTCTGAACGAAGTGATGAATGTATTGATTTTACAATGATGTGTATTTTTTTTTGTGTGTGCCTGTCATCATTTTTTGGGGCAGTAAAAGTGCTTTAATTTTAAAAACCCAGGGGGGTTTTTGGTAGCAAAGTGAATCTAGTTGGTGTTTTGGGTGGTCAAAAGTAAAAATCGGGAACTCGCTCTGCTGTACAGACGTACGGTAGAGGTGGAGTGGGCCTCGGTCATAGAATGTAATGCGGATGTGAATTTAGTCTCGTAAAAATTGAAAATTTAGACGCTCGTAAAAAATTTTTAATTGACTTACGCTCGATTTTTTTTATAATAATTGTAAGCAAAACTTATGGACAACCTGCATTAAATTTTGGACTGCTAAATATTTTGCAAATAGTCTTGGCTTTTGACGAATTTTGTTTACAGATATTTAAAAAAAACTTATAGACAACCTTGTACCATATTTTCAAACGTTAGGTATAAAGACCTACAATTTTAGCATATCATATAATATACTTTTCTAATTTCTTTTCACTAGGTTCATTTGTGGCGGTAGACGTATTGTTTAATATTGTATATCACGGAATTTTCATAAATCATAAATAACATTCCCCGAACACACCTATTGCTAACGTTGTTGACAAGTCAACGCACCTTTCGTCTTATAAACATTAGTAATAAAACGTAGATATCGCGCGAGTGGCGTGTTGAACTCCTTTTGGGTGAGGAGCAAAAATGTATACAAGGTACCCACCCACCCACCCCCCTAGATGTTTTTAACGGCATTTCCAACATAGCAAAAAAGTTTAAATTAAAAATTTTACAAAATTTGCCTACATTTGTAACCATTTGTATAGTCGGATATGATATTTCTACTATATACCTAGCCACCTAGGCGGGTAGGTATTTTGTGGCAGGAAGCACACCCACCAACCAACAATTTTGAAGGAGCAATTGCTCCAAAATAATACCTTCGACACGCCACTGATCGCGCGCTAATGCACAAATGACCCAGGGGTGGGTAACTTAATACGGAACAGCGGTGATAGCTTGATTACGCATTCAGAACGACAACCTAACAACATTTTAAAAGTTGGTACACATACGAAATATAAAACTGTTTTTTTATTCATAGAAAAGATAATAAATAATAATATTATATTAAAGTTTAAACTCATTAAAGAAGTATTAAACATTATTTTGTTATTTGTTATAACATTAATTGTTATCTATGATTGAATGTTTGAAAATTACTATTAATTGTTTATTCGGTTTTTTCGTATTCGTATTAGTATTTACCCACTAATTACTATTATATATATTTAGAATTGTTTATTGCTATATAGTGTGAAGGAACTAGGAAGTCAAGTATCTACTACAGCTGTGTGCCTTATTTATAGTCATCGAGTAAGTTAACTAAAGTAAGTACCAGCCATTCACAAACTAAAAAATTTTCTTGAAGCAATTTCTTAATATGTTGCATAATTTATTAATATATTAATATGTGGTTGGTTATTTTAAATGCCTTCAAAAAACTGTGTTATTTTTAATTGTGATACAACGTATAAGGATAAAACAACAATTCGACATTTGTTTCCCAGGGATGAAAACCGTTTTGAAATTTGGATTCAGTGCTCAGGGAATCCTAAATTAAACAATCTCAGCATCGATGAAGTTTACCGTTCATTTGTTGTATGTGCAAAACATTTTGAAAATAATTGTAAAAGTCCCGGAACAAAAAAGTTAAATTGCAACGCTATACCAACATTAATGTTACCAAATGGTTTGTATAATAAATTAATGTTTTGTGAAATGTTGATGTATCATAAGTGCGTGTATAAGTATAGTAGATGCTTAAGTAAAACATAGCAGGTTTTTGAGGTGTACTTGACTAACAATTTACTTAAAAAATAGTTATTAACATATATTTAAAATATACTTGTGTGCACACCTAAATGTGTCAAAACATTTGTTTATAACTGAATTTTTAATAACTTATATAATATATTGTATAGGTATATTATACACTATACCTATGTATTTTTTTATTAATTTGTGTGTTTCATGTTGTACTACAAAATGAGTGCTTTATATGTTGTATATTTGGGATCTATAAAAATACATCTATTCGGATACCTATTTCAGTCAATGTTGTATGTCCATGTGTAAATTTATTGAAGGTAGGAATTGTGATCATTACAGCTTTTTATGTTTCATATGTTTAAGTTTATTGTTCAATTTAATTCAATGTTGTACAATTTGTTATACTATATTAAACATAATATTTAATTCAAATTAATATCTTTGTTTTTTATATTTTAGTTTACAGTGTTTCCAGTAACAATGAAACCAGTGGAAATATTCTGTCTGATAATAAATATATTTTAACACATCCAACTTGTTTAACAGGTACATTTTTATTTTAAAGTTACTGACATTTATTACAATTTAATTTGCATTATAAAATTAAAATGGTATAATTATTCATATAATTTGTTATTAAAGATCAAGTTGAGCAGGAATCAAACACTTCGAACTCCAGAAATATACCTGTGATCTGTACAACTGATATGACAAGTAAAAAAATAAAGATTAATTAATTATTAATAATGTTTTGATGTATAAATAGATAGTTGCTTTAACATGTTAAAATTTTTTCTTAAGAAAGTAGGTAACCTTACAATTTAAAATCAAATGTTTACATTTTTCTAGATTCAACTGAAATGTGTGGTGTAAGTTGCTTACCAGAATCAAACGAAATACCTTCAAACTTCACTGCTACAACTTTGATTTACAAAAGTATGTAATAACAAATAAAATTCTACACAATTATTTTAATTTCAAATAATATATACCTAATATTTGTAATTATTTGTTTATAGAAAGAAAAAAGTCAAAAGGGGTTTTACGGAATATAAATATAAGACGCCAAATAGATTTAACTCCAAAAAAAGCATTTATATATCATACTCTTAAGGAAGCAAAAAAAGTAAATGCCACACTTAAGTATCGAGACACTAAACTTAAAACACGTTTGCTATTGGCTGAAACATATATGAATAACCATCAACAATCTTTAAAAAAATTAAATAAAATCACTACTACTTTCATTGAGTCACAAATACGCACTCAATCCAAAAAAGCACGAGGGAGACGTTTTACATTTGATGACAAAGTATTTGCGCTATCGGTATTCAAACAAAGTGGTAAAGCTTATCGATTGCTTCAAAAAGTATTTGCCTTACCATCAAAAAAGTCATTAATGAATTTACTACAAAAAATTCCATTTCACACGGGAATAAACAAAAAAATATTTGAACACCTCAAAATAACTGTTGGTAAAATAAAAAATCCATTAGATAAATACTGCACTATTTTATTTGATGAGATTTCACTATCTCCCGGTTTGCAATATATACCTCACCATGATACAGTGTTAGGCTTTGAAGACCTTGGAATCGTATGAATCCAAAACTATCTGATGCCCATATTTATGAAGACAAAATGAAAAAGATGAAGGTTTCGCACGCTGCTCAAGTATTCAGCCAGCGGGTCGGCTCTATTATGAAAGTTTTGGCTTCATGGCCAGGTAAGATTATAATTGACAAAAAAAAAAGTAAACATTAAATTATTCTTATTATTTCTGTTTCTATTTTACAGGAAGTTCTACAAAATGCCAACTTGACTCATCTGCTGTAGATACTGCAGTATTATGTCTTTTTGTGGACAAGCTGTTTGACAGCGTGAATGGTGGTACAATATCTCCACCAGTTGGTAAGGATTTGAGATGTGCTGTTACTAGGTCCTCTGGTCATTGGACTTTTTGGGATGAAGCTATTTGTGTACTGCAAAGTATGGAGTTTGTGTGCAAGCAAAATAAAGTAGTATCAATAAAAAATTGGATACAAACAATAAAGGGCTTTAAATATCTCTGTAAGAAATTGTTAGATGATGGATTTGATTTTATTTTACTAAGAAATTTTAATCAGGACCCCATAGAAAATTTCTTTTGTTCTATTAGAAGCCATGGCATTAGAAATATAAACCCAACTTGTGCAGGATTTATATCTTCTTTCAAATCCCTTTTAATATCAAATTTAACTACAAAAAAAATCGGTGGGAGCAAATTGTGAAGAAGATAATTGTGACGGAGTTTCAAACAGCTTAAAAGATTTGTTATTATTAGATGAGTATGAGACTGTTGAAGAAGAAGAGGAATATATCTCAAAACTATCACAAAATTTAAATTTTACAAATCCCCAAACCCAAAATTTACCATCTTCGTTTGTTTTAAATAATACCAGATCATTTGTCACAGGTTGGATAGTAAAAAAAATTAAACCACTTGTCAATAACTGTAAAATGTGTAAAAATAAATTAACATCCAATATATTTTTAAATGAGCATAACTTTATTAAAATCCGTGAATATGAAAAATGTAATTTAATTTATCCAACAACTGAAGCTTCTAATTTATATAGTCTAGTTATAGATTTATTCAATACATTTATTTCAGATTTTATTGAAAAACCAAATCTAAAAAAAAAAATTATTTCTATTATGAAAAATTATATTGATTTAGAATTATTATTCTGTCCTAAACATGACTTGCAATATATCTTTTTAAATACATCTATTAGATTACTTATTTTTTCATTTATCACAGATATTAACATAATTTTGAATAAAGGTGAAAAAAACTCAAACAATACTTCTAATAAAATTAAGATAGCTGCTTTGAAATATCATAAAACATATAAACTAAGAACCAAAAAAATTTGTTCCATTAAATTAGGAGCCTTTTAGTATAGCTACTTACATTTTGTTTTGTTATTACTATATTTTCATGTTTATATTGTAATGTATGCCTATTATAAATATATTATGTAATATTATTCTTTTAAACTATACCTATTTAATACTAGTTAAGTAACTTATTAATTAACTACATATTGTTTTATTTTGTTACAGTTATATAAATAATTAATGTGTATAATAATGTATGTATATTTTAATATTTTGTATTAAATATATTTCAAGTTATCAAAGTGTATACCAACTTATTTGTAATTGTTTTATCTCATTAGCATATAACTATTAAATTATTAAAATTGCTGTTTGGTGATTCTACCAAAAAAAAAATTAACAAGTAAAAACTATTCAAAATAATCGATTATTGTTAGCTATCGATTAAATTCTACGATAATCGAATAAAATCAACTATCGATATTTTAGTTTTTACGATAACCACCGGGAGTGCACAAGTCGCTGACTGACTCAATGTTCCTTAACAGAGTGCGCTTTCTATTTAATATCTTTTCTATGAAATTACCGCCGTGTTATGCAATAAATGTTCCCCGTTCCCCCCTTCATCGTGCAGTGTTCGTCGTCGACGTGCCGCGGTTGCCCGCCACCCGTCGCCTGCAGCGCTTTCGTAGCGTCCGCCGGCACGGCCCGCAGGCAATACTGTACTCCCACAATTTAATTGGAATAATCCCGCAAAAGTACGACACTGACCTGCCCCACTACACCAGAGAAGCACCAAGTTCCGTCGACAGCCTACGGCAAACCACCATCAACTCAACACTCAACTCCAGGGGATATGAACTTCATACGTGTTTGTATGGTTCTATAACAATTAATACAAAATCGTACCACCGTCATCAATAGCGCTGCAACCATTGGAAAAGTACTGATAACGGTCCGTTTATTACTGATTACTGAAGCAGTGAAATGTTTTTAAAATTTAAATCAAATGTGTATTGTGTGGTGTAGTACCTAGTATGTTTTATTTTTTATGTGTTAAATAGTAAAATGCCCTCAACTAAATGCAGTGTTCTTGGTTGTACTAGTAAAGAAAAAAAACATGTATTTCCAAACACTGACGGCGACTACAAGATTTGGCTGGAGTGTTGTAACAACGAAAAACTTTTTAAAATGGATAAATCTTTAGTTCGTAAACGGTATGCTGTATGTCACATTCATTTTGATAAAAGCTGTGAGAGCCCAGGAACAAGCAAACTCAAAAAATGTTCATTGCCAACTTTGAACTTATCAAAAAGTAACAACACTATTAAGTATTAAATCACCATCGGTTTTGGTTTACATCAGAGCACTGGGCAGGCGGGATACCGGGAGTTTCCCGGTGGGCCGCTCGTTTAATTTGGGCCACTTGTGCTTGTAGGTGCGTTTTTTTTTAAAGTTTATTGGTTGAGACATTCTGTCAATAGACATAGACACATTTTCTAATGCGATTGAATTGAATATAATCTAACCTTGAACATGGGTGTGCGATAAAATATTAAGGAAATTCTTCAAAATAGATATGAACAAATGTATAAATTGCCAAAAACCGATCGTTAATCGGTATTATCACTTTCTTATCGTAACGCACGTCTACGCCGCCTAAATTATGCGACATTCGCTGCGACGAAGATTAGTACTGTTCGCGCATGTGATCATTAATAGTTATCACTTATTGAAGTGTCGTTTTATTGAGTAACGAATCGTTTTTGTTGAAAAAAAAAACAGAATCTGTTCTCAAGTTTTTATAATAAAATGGATACCAATAATATAAAAAATAGAAAAGAACAGAAAAAAACAGAGAAAAAAAAAAACTTTTAGAAGCTCAGGCATCAAGTTGTGAATCAATAAAAGAGTTTAAAAAAAAAAAAATTGATTTTGGACTTGAATTGGAACTCAGCTACATACTTGGTGTTACGCTTACGCACATGTTTTAAATTTGGTCATGATGGACATAACAGAAAAAAATCATTATTCAATTACTTTATTTGAACTTTTAAACTCGTGTGCCGTTTTTTTTCGAGAATCCTACACACGTATGAATATTTTAAAAGATTTACTCTCAGAATCTCGTATAAAAACAATATCTGTAATAGCTCAAACTAGATGGTGGTCTAAAGATAATGCTTTAAAATATCTGATATTTTGATGGCGTTAGATAATGAAATCATAATCGACACACTTTCGCAAAAGAGCTCAAACCTAAACAAATTGCTTAATATGTATAATTAATATTTAATGTGTAGTTATTCTAGAGTCTAAATATAATATGTATTTTAAATAAAAATGATAACATTTCTTTGTACTAACTAATTTTTAATTTTTTTAATTATTAATAATAATATTAAGTGTTGAAATTCTCAATATAATATACAATCATTTTATATGGAAAAATATGTTTTTAAGGTTGTTTTTATAGGTATACCTAAGTGGGCCGATTTTTTTTATTTTCCCGGTAGAAATTGTTGACCCAGTCCGGCCCTGGTTTACATGTGTTGTATTGACATAAGGACATTAATGTCCGTCTTCTGTATTATTTGTATATCTGTTATGTGTCTTATATGTTAATTTAGTTTATGTCCATCCTAATTCCTAATATTATATTATATATTTGTACAATCCATACCAAATGTTTTTAACATATTAACCAAATTATTGTAATATTAACTAAATTTTGTATGTTATTTAAACAATATAATTTAACATAATATTGTGTATTAAGTAATTGAAAATTATAATAAGGTTAGAACACCTGATTAGGTTTGTGTAAATGTGTATATTAAATTGTAGTTAGTAAATAGTTTGTATTATGTGTTTAAATGTTGCATGATGTGGCTAACAATTATTTTCTGTTTTTGAAGTGTTGTAATGGGATTACGCAATTCATGTACAACGCTCACAATAACAAGTACTACTTATGTAGAAAGCGGCCTCGTCGACCACACCCAAAAGTGGTCATAGCTAGAATAAACGCTTCGTACAACAACAACTTCCAAGGGCGCCTACATGCTACGCGCCGCTCAATTCAAAGGGCGTCGCCTTCGTATATTCGTATATATAGAGGCTAGGGCCTCAATACAAATTAGATGTATCCAGAGACGAGAACAACACACGACTCGCTTAGCCGCCCAGCCATCACACACGACTTACACGGAGATTATCAACTTCGGAACGAGCTACAAATGCGCTACAATCAACACTATTATTCTGCTTGTTTTGCCTGGTTAAATATATTACATTTGATTATCATACTAATTTGACTATTATTATTTATCAAGTACACCAGCTTTTGGATCCCTGAAGGGCCGCATGTAACACTGGCGCAGATCGGTAGGATTCCAAAGGGAGGCAACCATCAAAGGCTACTGTCAACAACGAGGAATTGATCACTCTTCAGCGAAGACAACTCCAGGAGGAACCAACAAAAAAACAAATAAGTCACATTGCAGTACCAACAAATCCATTAGCAGCATCATCAACGGCAACATGTCATCATCAGCCATGAACGCAGCATTATTGTGAGTGAATAGTTATTTAAATTTGTTACATAGACGTATGCAACATAATTAAGACATATTAAGATAAATCTAGGTAGTTGATTATAAGTGTAATGGTGTAAACCGTTTTAAATTTTATTGAGGGCATATTTTATTGATTATTATTGAAGTTTATTGAGGGCATATTGATTGTCTGAAGTTTTATTATTGAGGGCATATTTTTATTGAAGTTATTATTGATTATTATTGAAGTTTATTGATTTATTGAGGGCATTTTTATTATTGAAGTATTATTGAAGTTTATTGAATTTATTAGAGGGCATATTATTGAAGTTATTATTGTATTTATAGGGCATTATTGAATTTTATTGAGTATTATTATGATTATTAACGTATTAAATAGGTGGTTAAGTTAATTTATGGACAAAGAAGATACATCTCCCTTGAACGTAGCTAATTCATTGTATGACACTAGTGTAGTAGAAGAAGCCCAGTTAGAAGCCCAGTTATTAGCCCAGAGAGAAGCCCAAGCCCAGTTTGAAGCCCAGCAGAAAGCCCAGTTAAATATTATAGTAGATACCCAGTTAGGAGATAGCACAAGTAAAACCCCAAGTCCACGATTAGGAGTAGTCACACGTAGCAAAGTCACAGATAGTTTTGAACATCAGTCGTTAGATTTTATATCTAAATCACGCAATAAAAAAATGGCAGTAACCATAAGATTAGAAGACGCTTTTAAATTAATTCCAGTATGCACAGGGATAGACGATATTTACCAATTCATAAATGCATGTGATATGGCAGTAGGTTTAGTTGACGCAACTAGCGCACCAATATTAGTAAAATATATCACTACGCGATTAACGGGTAGAGCACTAGAAATGATTAAATATAAAAACGTAACAAAATGGCAATTTATAAAAGCATATTTAACAGACGCATTCGAAGTAACAACCAATGCATCGTCGTTACAACTTCAATTAAATTCGATTAGAATGAATCACAGTGAGGATGTAAACGATTATTGCCATAGAGTAGAAAAACTATATTATCAGTTATGTACCGTAAGTACATTAGGCAAAGAACCTGCAGAAGCAAAAATTATACATGAAACATTAAGGGACCAAACTCTAGCAATATTTATTAAAGGATTAGTAGAACCGATTAGAACGATAGTAAAATCTCGTAATGCTAAAACTCTTGAAATCGCGAAACAAATCGCTATGTCAGAACAGGTAGAATTAAGATTAGAACAGGAAAATAGGAATCATTATTCGAGTAGTTATACGCAAAACAATAATCAACGTAGACCAAATTATGAAAATAGGAACAACAGGAACGTAAGACCAAATAACTTTGTAAGGTCGAATAATTTTGCGCAAAATAATAATCCACGAGCAAACAATTTCTCTCAACCAATTAATAGACCACCAATAAAATGTTATAACTGCAATGGAAATCATTTTGCATCACAATGTAGAAATAATTCGAGACCTAACTACGCGAGCAACGGAAATAACAACCGTCCACCTAATAGAAATAATTTTACGCAACCGCCGACAAATTATAATACACAACCAGTTACGTGTTCATATTGCAATAAAATCGGTCATAACGTAGATTCATGTTACAAAAAGAGAAACGACGAAAGTAGAAATAATTCGGGAAACGCCAACGTGTCGAACGAGGTACGCGGTACTCGCACGATAAACCAGATTATCGCGGAACAACCGACGAACGAATATTTCACATATTCGCAAAACTAGAAAATAATCATATAACATTCGATTCTAATGCCGCAAAAACAAATCAATTGCATTTAATGATAGATACAGGTAGTCAGGTAAATATTCTCAAAATAAATTGCTTACGCGAAGAACTGGAAGTAGACGAAACGCAAAAAATAAATCTACGCGGTATAAATGAATGTCTTACAAAAACCATAGGGAAAATATCAATATTAATTAAATTAAATAGCGAAAACATTAAAACGGAATTTCATATCGTAAGTGCACGATTTCCAATACCCAAGGACGGAATATTAGGAAACGAGTTCTTGTCGAAAAATAACGCAATAGTCGATGTAGCGAACAACAAATTAATTATTCAAACGACCTCGCATACACTAACAAATTTCAAAGATGCTGACAAAACCAGTTTTATTAAATTAAATCCGCGGACTGAAACTATTGTAGGAATACAGATAGCCGACCCACTAATAGAAAGCAAGGAAATATTTATACATAAACAAGAATTAGTAAAGGACGTATATTGCAGTAGTACAGTGTCTATCGTTAATAATGGTAGGGCAATAGTTAGCATGTTAAATATATCAGAGGAAACTAAAAGCATATCTGAAATCGACCTAAATAAAATACTCTATGATACCGAATACGAAATATATAATGTAGAATCGACGAATGATCACAATGAGCGAATAGCACGTTTGGAACAAATAATAATAACTGACCACATGGATGAAATAGAAAAACAATCTATTTATGAGATATGTGAACGATATAATAGCATATTTCATTTAGAAGGGGATGTTCTAACCTACACCAATGTCGGCACACATTCTATTAAGTTAAAAAAGGATCAACCACCTATTTATCGTAGACCTTATAGATTACCACACGCTCAACAGGACGAAATAAATTCACAAATTCAAAAAATGGAAGAAAATGGAATTGTCGAGAAATCGAGAAGTCCATGGAATTCCCCACTATTATTAGTACAAAAGAAAATGGATAATTCAGGCAAACAAAAGTTTAGAGTAGTAGT